ACTATTTTTATTTGGGCCGATTTAGTCCCCGACATCATTCCCGGTGACGTCCCATTTTTATCTGGGCTTCCTTGTCCCCGACAGCCCCAATCCCTTCTTCTCATGGGCCTCAAGTACCGCGAATATTCTAGGTCACGAGATCCACCATCTCGTGGCCCCCTTTTACCGTCTTTATTTGCCCAAGCCAATGACACTCTTTTCTAGTGTTTTGGGTGAGACTAGGCCCTTTTCCTTTTGGCCTAGGCACCCCCATGCAGTCCGTTATCTCTCGGACTGCCATAATGACCTCTTTCCTAGCCTCATGGCCCCACAACATGCCTTAAACTGAAACAAAATGGAACGACCAACTCCCAAGTGCATCCATACTCAATATTGGCTCCGGATGCATCTAAAACATGTGTTTCTCCTCCCCCATGCAATCCGTTGTATCTCGGTTGCATGGGGCCTTGTTTTTTCTTGATTTGGCTCTTTTTCATTTCCTCAGCCTTTCTGATCCTTTTTTGCCCTCTCCTCTCCCCTCCCCATCAACCCCTCCTCTCCGTTGTCCTTTGCCCCAAAGCTCTTCCCTTATTTTAGAAGAAGAGTGACAAAGGGAGGTGGGCTGAGGAGAGGGAAGACGGGGTGGGCAGGTGAAGGAGGGGGGCATGGCGTGGGAAGGGTGCTGTTGCATTTTGAAGTAAGGGAGAGATATTGGTACGAGCGGGGATATGAGAGGGGGAGGGATAATATCATGTTGTCAAAGGAGCAGCAACTGGAGAGGGCAATGTGGATCGATGATTGGATTCTCCAGCATTTAGCAATTAATCCTGTCGTAGCAGCATCATGGAAAAAGAGGTGGATACTGGGGAGGGGAGTGAGGTGGGGAATAGGGTAGATCAGTATGTTATGGCAGTACGTTGTAGCATTTCAAGACAGTCAAGTGTTGATCAAGATTCTAACCCCTACCTGGTTTTTCTGGTGAGTAGATTATCCTGGTATTATAACCAGTAATTAGTGGCAATCCATTAAGTATAGAATCAAGATTAGCATCAGTATGCAAGGAAAAATAAGTAGCAGCAAAATGACAGAATTCCACATTGCAACATCACATGAAAGCCAGATAGTAGTGAGCTGTCCTGAAAGCAGAAATGCACCGGAATCACACCAATGGAGAACCAAAGCAAGGAACTCAAATGTCAATGAAAGCCCTCTCTCGCCACCATCAACAATGTATCTGAAGTTCTTTCTCCCTATTGGCGCTCAGCGCCCAGACTACTATTGCACAACTCCTACACTAGCCTACTCTAACGACGAAGCAACCAGTTGACGTCAACAGCAGCAACCAAAGTACATGCAGATGTCGCTCATGCAGACCTCCACGATGACCAGGTACGTGCCTTCTTGTTTTCTCTGTCACTCTCCCTCTACTTCCTCACCCTCGTCTTCTTCCCCCCGCCACACAACATCCACGTTGCCCACGAAGACCACCACCACCTGGCTATGTGCACGCAAGCCTGGCTATGGCTGCCTTGGTGCAGCGCTCTCTTTCCCAGAGGCGCCCAAGTGCGCCCAAGCACTTCCCGCAAGTGACCACAAGCACTCATCCTAGCAGCGTTGCCGCATTGCACACAAGTGCCCGAATGAGTCTGTCTATATGGAAAGCGGGCTGGCCCAAAGGCTGCTCGCCCTCGGAGGTAGGTGTGCCCAGTAGCTTCACGTTGGGCCAAAGTGTCTGCGCCCAGGCCAGATTCAGACAGTGGCTGTGACCGAAACAGTTAAGCCCTCCCAACTGCCCGACGTGGCCTGTGTTGCTGTCTGCATTGTGATAGGCTGAAAGGCCTGCTTCCAAGTCAAGCTTGGAAGAGCCCGGAAAACTCAGGGAGGACTCAGTTGCTCGCAAGCAGGGCCCATGTAACCAACTGGCGCGTGCGAACTGTCAGGCGCCCAGGAGGCCTCACGAGAGAAAAATTCAGGCCTCATCAAACTATGACGGCCCGCCTTCACTTAGGGCGGGCACAGGACATTACAAAGGGCCCCCATAGGGAAATGCCAAGGACACAGATCGTCGCAAGTGGAATAACTTCAGAGATAACTTTCGGTTTTCAAAAGGAACCAATTGGTCAGGAACTGGTCATCATCCTTTTGATATCATCTGTTGGTATTTCAATCCCAAACTCCTGTGGTGTTATTATCCTACTCCATCCATAGTGCAAAACTCAATTTGCAAGAATTGGAAGACTTGCTGAAATTGAAAAGAAGAGACGGAGAGTGATAAAGAGTAAAATAGAAAGACCCCCCTAACTACCCTACTTCTCTCTAACACTCCCAGGAGCCTCAAAGGTAGCAAGGGTATCTGGTTCAAACTACTCAGGAAGTTGGCACTCTGGGTCATATGGAAACGTAAATGCACATGGACAATCGACAGAAGTGGCAAAGGAGGAAATGTGGACCTTACTGCTGAGGATGGTGGAGAGTCTGGAGACTGAGATCCGGAGCAACTGGCAACAGGTGACTGCATCTACAAAGCACTGGCCATAACAAGAGACATGTATTCCTGAGAGATTGGCTGCTACAGGGCAAGATCGTGACCGTAACAGACACCAAGCTGGTATGGAAGAAGTGGCATCATCCAGACTCGCCAGGAAGCGAGCCTCCGAGAAGGTCATGACAGTGGAGCAACATACGAACAGGGAGACCAGAACTCAACTATTTCAGAATGATAGTTGTACTTCTCATGATTCTCGTTAAGTCAAGTTCTAACAGGCCGTCCTGAATGCGGAGCCTGAGAGGAACAGTTGGGAAGGGCAAGCTGACAACCAATCCTCCTCACTCCGGAGCAATCAATGATGTTCAAGTATCCTTCGGCGAAACGGAAGGAGGCGCGAGTGTGTATATCATGTGCTTTTTTGACTTGCCTCCGTTGCCGGGGGAAAAGGAACCGGATTGACGCTCCCCAGAATGGACAAGGAGCCAGGACCGTAATGTCTTCCCTTTAACTCTTTCTCCTCATCCCTCTTCTTCTCCTTTACTCCTAATAATCAATTAAATGCAACAACAAATGAATGACTGAACAGAAATCATGTCCAAGTGTTCCCCCTTACTGCCAGCAAGTCAAGAGCCCTAACCTCACCTCTCTCCTCTTTGTAGCACCTGGGGCTATGGCAGAACACCCATGCTCATCACAAATGTTCAGAGTACAATGCAAACACTGCTATGCTAGTCTCATCTCCTCTTGCCATAGCTACACTCTCAGAAGATGTCCAAGACCAACCAGGGCCCACACTGAGTGTGGGCCTTCTTGATGCAGTGCCAATCAAGGAAGTGAAGATGACAGTCAACCATAACCAAGGTGAGTTCCTATGTCGTTCCTCTCCCCCCCCTCTCTCTCTCTCTCTCTCTCTCTCTCTCTCTCTCTCTCTCTCTCTCTCTCTCTCTCTCTCTCTCTC